GATGAAGACAGCAAGACCTTCATTCGAAATGATTCTGAATCGTATGACGATATTGTTATTCAAAAGAAGGAATGCATTGACTACGTGCAGAAATGAATAAATATACGGCTGCATGCTTTGAAAAAAAACACCAAAGGTCTCGGCGAAACTTCTCTGATAAATTAATAGATGAATTGACAGTGTATTATGGTCTTGCTATAAGGAGAAATCACAATTCCATAGAAAAAATGAGCAATATAATTTGGGCAACAATTTTGCATAAAATTTTGACCGATGAAAAATCCCAGCATTGCCAGAGAGAAATCATAATGCTCGTGGCAGCAAGCCAAAGCCCGATACTCTCTTGGATTACCGATATAAAGAACCCCTTCTTTAAGACGTCTTCAATTAAATCTGCTATTAAATCTGTTTATGAAGACTTGAGCAGAGATGATTTACTGATTCTGCTTAGGTAATTACACGCAAAATAGTAATAAAAGTTTGAATACCTTCGTGTGCTTCTTGACTCCAAAATCTCATTCCAGTGGCAAGACAATTTTGGATATTTGTACATACATTGCCATCTATACTTTCAATAATGGCTTCAAAAGCTTGATGAAGAATCGTGAAAGTCATGAACTTGACTTTTGAAACGAGGTTTTACAATTTTGCAGAGTCAATCGATAATAACCGAGTCAATATCGTAGAGTACATACAGGCTGTCATACGCTGCAAAAAAGCGGCAAAATCGTTCTGACATCAAGTCGAAGAAGATGCTTCATGCAGAAGGCTTACTATATGGCCCCGATATTGCTAATTAAAGATAAAAAAAAATAATTAATAATAAAATTATTATTTTATAAATAAAATAACTTGACTTAAGACTTTAATCACGTTTTTCTCAAAATGTTTTTAAAAATGCTGAAAAAATATCACAAATTTCATCCAAGTGAAATTTTACTTTACCTTTGAAATTTTACTGAGTTATTGTCAATTGAATTATCTAAAGAAATACCTTTAGTTTTTGCGATAACTTATATATTTTTTTTGTAATCCATATTTTTATGTCGAATTTTTACGTAAAAATTGAACCTCTTTTTTCATGAATGCATCATTTTCATATTTTTCAATATTTTTTAATTCTGCCAGATATTTCTCTAGTAAATTTGATGTAGATTATAAATAAATTTTTTTTTTGGCTACAACATACTTTAGATCTATTCTGCTGTTTACCGCGGATGCCTTCATCACCAGCAGGTCTCCCAAAAATGTGCTGCAACGCCGCCAGTTTGTTTTTTATAATTATGAAAAATATTGATATTTTGTACTAAAATACAAGCAACAAATATATATAAAAAGATTTTTTGTATCCTATAGTTTTTTAATTATTACCTCCCAAAGTACGATATGATTTTGAGGCCTCCAAAGTGTACTAACTCTTTAAAAAAAAGTATTCGTTAGATCTATATCACCACAATCAGGAATTTCCAATAAAAATCAGTCTTTAACAAATAGAAATAAAAGAGCATAAAAAAATAAGATAAATTGCCCATTTGTAAAGAAGCATTTATCTGCCTACTTTGTAAAGAAGCTGTATAGATCCACCTGTAGAAGATTGAATACAATGTTTTTTGTAAGAAATGGTGGCATGAAATCTCTCATGAGAGCTTTTATTTGTAATCTTTGTAATAACTAATTAATTTTTGCAATAATTAATTAAAGATTAACAATTATGTGCAATTTTATACCAAAAGTTTTGAAGAGATTTATATCTTAAGTTTAAATTTTATATATATATATTTCTAATCATTATTTTGAATTTATTATTTAACTTTAAGTAAAAATATTTCAGCTACTAAGAGAAAGAGAGAGAGAGAGAGAGAGAGAGAGAGCAGTATTTTTTAATTACAATTTTGAGAGTTTATTGAAAATTTATTATTTAAATTTAAGTAAAAATATTATCTATGTTTAAGCTGTCTCTCTAGTAAACAGTATTTTTTTATTGTAATTTTGAATGTTTATGATTTAAATTTGATAAATTTGATAAACATCTCTAACAAAATCTCTAAAAAAACTGTAACCTAAACTATATTAAAATTAACGTAAAAAAAAGTCTTTAAAAATGTTGATTGTACATTTATCCCAAGCGCGTTTTTCCCTGCAGTACTGCGCATGTTTATCCGCAATATAGGTAAAGTGGACGCATTCGTCTCTACGGAATAATTTTTAATTTTGTGAAAATTTAAGAGGAGTTGGATATGCATAAATTGTTTTTTTTTTATAGAAGTATATAATAAATAGACTATTTACAAAGAAGCATTTTTTTTTATTTAAGTCATTCTGCACATTTTTAATTAATCAAACGTCAACAAAAAAGTATGTTACCCGAATGACTCTACATTTAGACTAACAGAAACCGCATATAAGAATCTCATATTTTTATAACAGAAATTCTCGCATAGGAAACAAAGAATTAATTATGAATTCATTTTATTTTTAAATATTTTACGATTTTTTTAAATACGTTCTTTTAATTTAATTATGATATTTCTAGTCGGATGTTACATGGTTTCAACATCATTTTGTATGCAAAAACTGTCTTAATATCATTTATCATGTGTTTGGTTTATTGAATTTTTGTAACAGCTAAAGAGGACTTTGTTATGTCGAAACATTCCTTTCATTTAACTGTAATGTACAAACTTGGCAGTTTTATTTATTCATTTATACTAGTGGTTTTTTATTCTTGTAAAAGAATTTCAATTTAAGATCTGATTACTAATAATAAGTCTATATCATTAAGTTTATGACATGCGTTTTTGATATGCAATATTATCTCTTCCTTGAAATATAAACGCCCAACTAATATGTTATGTGGGTGTTAAGATAAAAATATACTATTCTTTTTATTATATACTTTAAAAAATATCGATGTGGATTTAATGTCACACAATATATAATTCTCACTGTGTTGGTGTTAATAGTAACAGCAACTTGATTAGATGTAGATTTAATACCATAGGATTTTAATCCATACTATTTAAAATCTCGGATATTGAAATATCAAGGGTTTTAAATTCATATCAATGATGGGATCATCGTTTAAAATCGCTAACATTGATACAAATTCTTTTTAAATTCATCATGTTGGTGTTATTATAGATAATATTAATATACACAGTAAGAATTGTACATATAGACATCGCAATAAATGTTCGATATACTTGTCTCTTAATTTCTTTTGTGTAAACATAGATGCTTTATATAATTTCGTTACTCAATTAAATGTCGCAATTAATTCATGTGTGTAGCATAAAACGTTTTCGGATCGATAAGTATGCGTTCTAGCGTTGTGCAAGCGAAAAAAAAGTGACTTTAAGTGCAATGACAAAGGTAATTCTCTTGACAATTTTCTTCGTAGCATAGCAACGTGAGATACGAGTGCAGACATGGGTGACCGACATTGCGCGGACAGATGCATTTGCGTATCAATGTCAATAATCTCGCCGGGGAACGGCGCCGCGCAACCGACGGCAACGATAGGATTACAGAGCAAGAACCGTTCCACTTTCGACGATTATTCTCAAGCTTTAAATCCATCTAGCCTTAAGTCTCCTTGCGACACATATGCAAATCCGTATATGCAAATACTTACCCATCTCTCTCTCTCTCTCTCTCTCTCTCTCTCTCTCTCTCTCTCTCTCTTTCTCTCTCCCCCCTTCTTTCCTTATCTTTCTCTCTATATCATTTTCATCATAAGGCGACAAAAATGTAGGATCAATAAAGACGTGGAAGTCTGCCGAGATCTAAAAGCCAACTTTCAAATGTGAGAGAAATTATTATTATATATTTTTAACGAGCACAGGTTACAATCGTAAAAAATTTATAATAATAAGTTAAAAATAAAGCTGCCATATGAATAAATCAACTAACAATAAGTAAAAAGAAGCGTCAACTACGGTCAAAGTTAGATGATGAAGTATTGTAATAATTATATATGTAATTTATTTTGAATACATTTATTTTAAAAATAATGACAGTGCGCCAATTACTTTTAAATTTGCGATCAAACTGAAATAATAATAATAATAATCTCATAAATTACATTTGATTCTCGATTTGAAGAATTATTATTGATAAATGTTTAGTATAAGGGAGCATTTTCCAATGACCTTGATCTTGACATATGTGGTCAAGGTCATAACTCTGAGTGACCTTCAAAAGGTTTTATCCCGGTCGTTCTTCGTTAAAAAGTTATAAACAATCAAAGTTGCTAATTATTGTATCAAAAGTTGAATGATTCTAAATAGGACAACGTTAAAACCCACGTGCAACACTACAATTTGGAAATCGTGCGTTCCTTAAGCAGGGGGGAGGAGGGAGATAGGGATAAGAGTGGTCGTTTTCCAAGTTAAAATCTATATAGAATAATATCTAATCTATATAGAATATTTAATATTGTATGTATAGCAGAAATAATATATTATTTTTGAAACTTTTTTTCTTCGTTAAAAACTTTTTAACGAAGAATAATCGCAGGCTAAAACCTTTTGAAGGTTACTCAGAGTCATGACTTTACCCATATATGTCAAGGTTAGAGTCATCGGAAAATGCTCCTCTATACTGAATATTTACCTGATTATTGTCAAAAATATTATCTCAATTGGGATTCGAGAAAACCGGATCTCCCAAAAATTTGAGTAAACTAATTTGATCTTCCAAAGATTTGAATAATTTGGAACATGTGAAATGTGTTATATATTCGACACTTTTCTAACGGTATATAAAAGTAACCTTTATATAATAATAACGATTTAAAAAGAACGAAAAACAAATTATTTAAAATATTTTATATAATCGAAATTAAATCTCAAAATGTTAGAAAATATAAGTTAACAGTAAAAATGATTTTGTCGATTTTATTTTTGTCTTTAGTTTTTCTAATATTTACATTATTTGATAATATTTTCTTGTACTAATCAGCATATTGCATAATTATGCTGAAATTTCAATAAATTTACCTGGGGGATGGTATAGAGCGAGGCTTGTCAAGCGCTAAATCCGAGCTGAGGGGCGAATCGGGTCCGCGGCCGCTGGAAGCCCTAAAACATGAACGAAATTATTGTTAGTTAAATTAGTATTCCAAAGCTAGTGGCTAATGATCGATCAATAGCTGTTTTATGTCCAACATCGGAGTTCAACGTTCTCTAAAGGTTTGTCAAATCATATTGGACAAATAATATCGCACTAAATCTATTAGCTCTCACTATTTCGAATAAAATTCGATAAATGCGATCTGTAATTTATAAATAGAAATAGAAATAGCAATTCCAGTAATTTTAAAAATGACTAAATATATATATCTTATTTACAATAGATATATATGAATTATAAATTAGCCATAATATAATAAAATGCTTCATATACTTTGTGATAAGACTGGAGAATTTAAAACTGCATTCTTATTATATATATATTTTTATTAACATTATTATTAAATTAATTATAAATTAAATTTATTATCATATTCCAGCTGCAATAGGCATTTTAAGATCGACTGTATTCGTCACACAATTTAAAAAACTAAAAAAAATTTTTTTTTCTTGTTGAAGATTAGATATTTAAGTATCTTCTAACATCCAGCTCATATAAGGTGCTTCCTACTTACTATTTGTACATTCTTATTTCTAACACACAATTCATAATTGTAAAAATAATCGCAGTAATTATTAAACAAATATTCACATAATAATTGTACACGAATTAATAATATTCGTATATTAATCAAAACCCTTGATGTGCTCATCTAGAGAGAAAGCATTTATATTCTTTACTCACTTTCCATTTCCACTTACAACGTAATCACGTCTAGTCGATTGAAATCAAATGAGCTCCGATTTAACATTCGCGCGTGGCGGCTGATAAACGATTAGAGAGGTCCGTTAGGCACGCGTACATAAATTCAACACGAACGAGGGGATTCATTCGAGATGCGTTTCGCGCGTTGAGTTCGAGAAACCGCGCGGCTATCTCGCAGGAATGTCGCGCGAGATGAAAAGTTCGAAGACCGAGGAACATGGTGTTGCGCAAGAGCCGTGATTCCGTTTGTGTAATACCTCGCTCACGCGTGCATTACGACTTCAATATTCATATTTCATTCGTCCGTCGACTGGATATCGACCGTTGATTCTGGCACCCGACCGACATGAACTAACAAGTTGGGCGAATAATTCACAACCGCGGACTTCGATAGAATAATAATTTAACAGAATAAATATAACGGATGCTAACCGTGTGGTGACTGCGAAATGAAATTGGAAATAAAATTAGAAATTTATGTTCGATGAAAAATATGTATTAATATTAGAGAAATGATTAAAAGATAACTTAACATTGAAATGATTAAAAGAGAACTTAATAGAAGCAAAATTCTCATATTCTCAAGCTTTATTCAACATAAATAAAGTTGCTATCTGACTTTTTATCTCATTGTGCATTATTTCCATGGATAGGAGTATCATATGTTGAGAAAAAATTATTCAATTCAAATAACGTGTAAAAGAAATATATATATATATATATATATATATATACACAGGGTGAATCAAAGTCGTTAAACTCATTTTTTATCTTATGAGAAAATTATCGACTTCATACTATTTGAATTATAACATGTGCAGTCGATAATTTTCTCACAGGGTAAAAAGCTAGTTCAACGACTCTGATTCACCCTGTATATATTGATAAACAAAATAAATTGTTAAACAAAAGTATTTCTCCAAAAATATTACTCAGATTTTGTGAAAGTCTGTTATATTCTTACAAAGAAAAAACGTAATAGTGTTTAAAATGGTTTACGTTTAAAACATCTGTACAAAACAAACGTTTAATAATAAAAGATATTTCAACTTTAAACATTTTAGTATTTTAAATCCGAATCCATAGTGTTTTATAGGAAAAATTTAAAACTAAAACATCTTTAAGTGTTTAAAAAATAGAGATAAGAATATAAAACATTTTAATATCTTAAAATTAAACACTTTTTTTATGAGTGTATGTTATACATATATAGTAAGTGATAATACAAGTTTTATATGTAGAATTGATGTATTATATATAATTAAATAAATTATTTTATAATTATAATAACTATACATAATAGTTTAATCAAATTTTACATAAAGAATTACTGTACCGAATGTTACATTAACATATTGGTCGACTATTTTATGAATGTAATACCTTTTATAGCAGACATTACATTTATAAAATGTAATCGATCGATCAATTTCATAAATATAATGTCTGCTAGAAAAGGCACTTTACATTTATAAAATATCTTGACATATTGATCAATATGTTGGTGCAACACGAGATACAGTTGAATAACTGTAATAGTTTATTCAAATTTTCTATGCAAAATTAATGTACATAAATAAATAAATCATTTTATATAGTTTCTTGCTATAATAACTATATAAAATAGTTTACTTAACTGTATTTGTGTACGTTGATTCTACATATAAAACTTATGTAATACAAAAAAATACATATTGTACACAAGTAATATCTACTGGTTTACCAAGTACTTCAAAAGTTGATATATCCACAAATCTATCATGAGTTCACAAGCATAAATTTATTTAAAAATTTTGTTTATGTACATTTTGAATTCTATAATAATAAGTTTTAATAATTCAATCGAGATTATTAAATTAAAATAAATTTGACTTGTTTATATAAAGTCATTTCTTCGATCAATCGAAAGAAAACAAATTTTTGTTTTGAGTGAAGAAATGGGTTTCTCTAAAATTTATAAGTATATTTTAAGATTATTATCAAGAAAATATTCTTTGTTATGGATGACCGCTACTTAAAAGGAAGAAAAGTAATCACTTTTTTAAGCAGTAGAATAATATTTTCCTGTGTGTAGTAATCATCTATTATAGTTACTACCACTATTTTATCTCTAAGTACAGATCAATTTTATCGTGTCACAATTCTTTGCAGGGACTAAGTGAATTAAACAATGATAACTGTCAATTGCAACAATAGACTGCATGGAGCGTCGCCATGCAGCCTCGCCAGCAGCCGCTTATGCGGATCTGCTCGGCGACGATGTTTTTGCTCCTCCCCGGTCGTTCGCTTCCGCTCGCAAATCCTCTCAGACCGCCGCATTTGGAGCTCTTGGCAGCCGCTCAGACGTCCACGATGAAATATCTAGCACGGGTGACTTTGATCTTCCATGGCGCGCGCTCGAAAACGACCAAGATGCGCGGGCGTGCGTGCATGCGTGCGTGCGTGCATATTCATGCTCGTCCGCGAATGCGCGGTACATATTGCTCTGAGAACCAGGAAGTCCCGTTGCTGTGTATGCGTGAGACGTTTGTGATACCTGGTGTCAAATGTCAACGAATTTCTAACATCGTCATTTGACAGATAAACATAAATATTTTAAATTTTAATTAAAGTACACAGTTAAGTTCAATGTATGTTCATACAATGTTAAATTATATATCCAATTTGAGTTATTTTTAATCCTTTCTACAGATCCACTATTCTTATTGAATGTGTTGTTAATTTAACTAAATCAATGGAGTTAAATAATTTAACTTAAAAAAATAATATTGATTGTGTTAAATAATTTAAGAAAATGTATTAAGTACAAATTAAAATATTAAATTTGACTCGAATTTAGTTTTTACTAACTGCACACATTAATATGAATATTGTTTATTTCGAAACCAATTACAGAAATAGATTGATTTACGTTTTTATTTAATTCAAGGGATTGAGTAGCCATTGCTCCTTTGATATCCAACAGTATACAGAAATTTTAATAGGTAAACATATTTTTAGTTTAACCCAAAATAAAGATAAACTTTTATAAATTAGGGATTGTGTATCATTCTTGCTTGAAGAACGGAAGATATTTTCTTAATCTTTCACGTAAATATGCCGCGAATCTCATTGCAAGTTTATTGCAGGCAACGACATTGAAAGTGATGCACCTTGTAGCTGAGCTTAAGCGAGATGGAGAAGAATTCGCTTCAATTGGACACCCGATACACGCAACGTTCACGCAGGACACGCTCGCATGCCTGTCGCGCGACAGCTGCGCGTATGGAAACGTAACGAAATCTCGCTGACCCTCTTCCTCGCATTCTCAAGCGGGAGGGTGGATGAATCACCCTCACTGAAATTCTAAAATCACCGTGTTTCCCAAAAGTCTATTATGGAGCACTTAGAGTCATGCGCCTCGGTATTTCTGTGTGCGGCCTGCAACAGACTTGAACCTCGTGCTCGTCGATGATCGTTGCACCCGGTGCATATTTTCTGAAAGTCGATGTTCGTTTGTGATTTACCGATTTGTTGATGTTCGACAAAAGCCTCTCTCTCTCTCTCTCCAGGAAAAGTATCTCTCGGAGAAAAGAGAGCTCGTGGAAGTCCGGCAATTAATTTCACTCCCCGTATAGCCTTGGACGAATAAGCGATGGTTTCAATATCCCAAATCGCGTCTCGCCTTATTTTTACAATTGGAGAATTTGTATTAAATTTAACACATTTCATGAACTCAAACGATCCACTCAAATTTTGTGTTATTTTAACACAATATGAATTAATATGTTACAAAATAACAATGAACATTGTGTAAAAGAATTAACTGTAAAACAATTTGTAAGAAAATTTTGGATCGTGGAAGCTTCTTTTTCAGTAAAATTAACATTTATAATATATTAAATCTATATATTAAATATATATTATCACATATATTATTTATTCATCTTAAAATTTACATTCTAAAATGAATTATTTCTATGTTCATTTACCTACATTGGTCATTTATCTATTCATAAATTGTATTATTTTGACACTCGGATATGTCAACATTCAACATAAAATTTTGAATTTGGACCGATTTCAACACAAATACAAAGTATATATTTTCTAAACTATAGAGTCTCAGCTTTCGACACAAAATCGCAATTATCTTATTACCTTAAAGCAAACAAATTTTTCGTACAATCTATTTTATGATGTTTTCACCCTAATTGTGTTCACAAGGTTTAATTGCATTTAAAGTTTCGCTCGAAAAATACAG